GGTGCTGTGCAGCCTCTGTCCCTGCGTCTGCCCTGGTCCTGGCGGTGACTGCGGTGCTGTGCAGCCTCTGTCCCTGCACTTTCCCTTTTCACTACCGCATCCCCATGGTGCTGGCGGAGTGAGGCTGTAATGTCCACGTCTCCTGCAGGTCCTCCTCAACTGGATTAACGATGTGCTGGTGGAGGAGAGGATCATTGTCAAGCAGCTGGAAGAAGACCTGTACGATGGCCAAGTGCTGCAGAAGCTCTTGGGTGAGTCCCCAGCAGGGACAGCTCTGTCCCACCCCCATATCCCTGCAGCAGCCCGGGGCTGGACCAGGATTCTCTGCATAGTGACATTGGTCACAGGTCCTAGGAAGACATTAAAAGCTGAAGTGCACGCCTCCCAGGTGGTGCCCCCAGGCCCCAGGCTGTGGCTTCAGGGTCCTCTGTCCCCTCACTGTTTCTACAGAGCACCCAGCCATGGGGCAGCTGGAGGCACAATATCCAGAGCTGCCTGCGGCTCCCCTCCTGTTGGGCTCAGGCCCACTTTGTGTCTCACCCCTCTCCACGACCCCCTTTCAACTTGAGCTCCTTCATCTCTGGATGGGAGGCAGCAGGAGGGAAGTGGGTCCCCAGCAACATTCTGTGAGTGAATGTGTCACCAAATACATTTTTTGTACACTAAAAATGCAAAAAATTAGCCAGGTGTGGTGGTGCACACTGATAGTCCCAGCTACTTGAGAGGCTGAGGCAGGAGAATTGCTTGAACCTGGGAAGCGGAGGTTGCAGTGAGCCAGGATCACGCCACTGCATTCCAGCCTGGGCGACAGAGCAAGAGTCTGTCTCCAAAAAAAAAAAAAAAAAAAAAAAAAAAGTGAGTTCCCACTGATACCTCTAATTCCAGTTCAATGCTACAAGTTTCTCCCTTACCTGTCAGCATTCTCTATTCCAATCTCCAGGGTAAACCTTGGTTCCAGAAATATATTTGCTGTTTACTCTGATTGCATATAAAATAGTGTCAGAATTATGGTATCAATACCTCTGTCAACTACAAACATGCTAAGTATAAGATATTTTTCCGTTATTTTTTAAGTATGTGATATATCCACTAAGAGTATATAGTCAGAATTCTGTGTTCAGAGCTTAGCTGAATTATCTCCTGTTCTAGTGGTCATGTCATCCATTTGATGTATAAATAATTTGTTTCTGTCTGTATTTAGTTTTTGGGTATATGTTTGCATTTACTTTTATTTAATATTACTTTTAAAAATATGAAGCATTTATGTGCTTCAAAAGTCAAAACGGTGAAAATGACATACCTTGAAAGGTCTTGGCCACGTGTGATGGCTCAGCCCGATCATCCCAGCACTTTGAGGGACTGAGGCAGGAGGATCACTTGAGCCCAAGAGTTTGAGATCAACCTGGGCAACATAGTGGGACCTTGTCTCTACAAATTACCAGATGTGATGATAGGCATCTGTAGTCCCAGCTGCTTGGGAGGCTGAGGCAGGAGGATTACTTGAGCCTGGGAGGTCGAGGCTGCAGTGAGCCATGATTGTCCCAATGCATTCAAGCCTTGGCAACAGAGAGAGCCTGGAGGCGGGGGGGACGACTCACTGCTTTTTCTCCCACCTATACACTCTCAGGTAACCATTTTCAATGGATTCTGATTTTATCCTTATGTTTCTTTACAAAAATGTCCGTACACACACCTACTCATTTCCCTTTCGTTCCGTGCATGAAAGATGGTATACGCGATACACTCTTTGATGCACCTTGCTTGTTTCACTTAATAATATGTTCTAGGAATCCTTCCATGTGGAGATCACCTTTCTTTTTCTTTATGGCTGCATAGTACTTCGCCGTGTGGCTGTTCCTTAGTTTATTTACCCAGTCTCCTGTATTGAACGTTTTTGTCATTTCCAGTATTTTTCTATCACCAATAATATTATGGGAATATCCTCATGCAGATGTTGAAGAAACTAGAATCATTGACCTCAAGTGTAATGAGTGGTTTCCTTGAGCTCACCGCTGCAGAGGAGGGAATTCCCAAATTGTGAGATGGGTCACCTCTCACCTCTGGCTTTCCCAGGTCTGTTGTGCCTTGGTTGATCTTTTCTGTATCCACTTTCTGTGTTCTCTGGACTGTTGAGTGTGCAGACACGATGTAATATTTCTGTTAAAACAATGGTCCCTTGCTCCTGCAACATTGCAGTTTCTCTGCGTCACACAAATGCACTGACCACTAGATTTGGCATTTGGTTGGTCACTGGTGGCCCGGATGAGAGCAGATTCAGTGCAGTGGTGAGGGTAACATCCTGATCGGGGAGGGCTCAGGGGCAGAGAACTGTGCCTTTGAGGTGCATGATTTTGAGAGGAAGAGAGAGGAAGGGAAGTGAGACTCTTGTCGCTGTGGCTCCTTTTCTTTTTGAGACAGGGTCTTAGCCCATCACCCATGCTGGAGTGCAGTGGTGCAATCAAGGCTCACTGCAGCGTCCACTTCCTGGGCTCAGGTGATTCTCCCACCTTAGCCTCCCGAATGGCTGGGAGTACAGGTGCTCACCATCATGCCTGACTAATTTTTTGTGCTTTTGGTAGATACGTGGCCTCGCCGTGTTGCCCAGGTTGGTCTTGAACTCCTGGGCTCCAGCAATCCACGCACCTCAGCCTCCCAAAGTGCTGGGATTACAGCGTGAGCCACTGTGCCCATCCATAGTAGCTCCTTTTCATGTCTGTCCACCGGGCACCATCCAGGCTGCCTGCTGAAATCACGTGCGTGGCGCACTTGGCACTGCACCTGGCACAGGTCTGTCGTCAATAAGCAGGAGTTGCTATTGTTATCGTTGTCATTTTCTAAACAGACAAATAAAAGCCAAGAGCAGAACTGAGGAGCGTCTGGCTCCCTGCTGGTCCCCCACCCACTCCAAGTCCCTCGGGTGACTGGCACATGGTAAATATTTGTTGATTAAGTCCATGAAGAAAGCCCTGCAGTTTCATTACCTATGCATATTGTGGGGTCCTCTTGCGGGAAATGAAAACGGAACAGATAGATGAGTATTTGTCTGGATTTCTGGTCTTCAGTGCCATCCACAGACTCGGGAAGGGACCAGCTATTTGCTGAACAATCTTTCAGTTCTCTTAGAGTTGTGATATGTTTTCAGGTCCCAAAGTGCCTGTGACAGTGGCCTCGAGAACTCAGTGTCCCCTTGTACCTGGGATAGCACACCTCTTAAAGATCAGGAGGAGATTCCACCCGCGTCATCCCCAGCACTGGTGGACTCAGCAGATCCTGTGTCTGGGGTTTCTTTTCTGCTCAACCTCCCCTGCTTTGATGGACTGCACAAACAAGCCCCATCCTGGTGGAAGGGTCTCCCCATGGGCCATCCTGGAGGGTCATTCCTTCAGGGCAGGGCTGGTGACTGGGGTGGGATCGTGTTTTTCTGCACTGTTGAGACAGAGGACTGACTGCTGCAGGGGATAGGTGGGCTGCGCAGGGGCTGCTGAAGGATGTGAGTGGGTAGGGGGGTAGGGCGTGGTTCAGGAGAGAGAGAGACTGGGGGAGCCCCTGTAGGAAAAACCCAGGGGTTCAGCATCGGTAGTTGCCTCTGGACAGAGTTTGCACACTCTGTACAAAGGGCTCTTACAGATCAGTTCTTGGAGGGAAACCTCCTGGGCTTGTGACAAGTGGTGGGTGGGGTGATGAGGTGCTAGGGAGGCCATGTCCCATAACTCACTCTGAAGGACACAGTGATGCTTGGACCACGCTGTGTGTCCTTATTCAGCTGGCCCTCAGGAAGTACACTTGGAGGGAAACATGCCTGTGTTTGTTTTGGTCACACATTCATTCATTCATTTATTCATTTGTCTGGTGGATGAGTGTTCATTGGCTGACATGTGTTGGGTGGGTCTTGGCTCTGGAGACGCAGTCGGAAACAAGAGAGATGAGCCCCCTACCCCACCCCCATCCACTCCCCCAGCACACAGTCTAGCAGAGCGAGGAAAGGGAAGTATTATGGGGCAGGGTGGTTCAACCTGAGACGTAGATGTTTTAAGGGAGTGACAAGTGCTAGGAAGACAGTAACAGAAGACTGTGGGGTAGAGTGGTGGGTGGGGATGGGGCAAGCAATCCAGGGCAGCTCCTCTGGGGAGGCGACATTTGACCACACATCTGCACAGTGAGCTTGGGAAGGGCGTTCTGGGCTGAGGCTGTAAAGCGAGAAAGAGCCTGCTGTCTTGGAGGGGCAGTGAAAGGAGGTGGAGGCGGGGCTGAGATGGCAGAGAGGGAGGGAGAGAGCCAAGAGAGGAGGCTGGGGCCAGATCTCATTGAGCCCTGGGAGACAATAGCCTTTGTTCCAGGTGATAGGAAGCCACTGGAGGTTTTGAACAGGGCTGTGACGTGGACTGGGTTAGAGTTTAAAAGGGCACTTGGGCTTCTGGGTGCAGGGTGCATGGGGAGGAGAGTCAGGAGTTGGAGCTGAGAGGTCAGTCAGGACACCACTGCCACGGCCCAGGCATCCGATGAGGTGGCTCAGCCCCCAGAGTGAAAGGGCAGACATAGGAATGTTCTGTGCAGTTAAATTGTCAGAGGAATCAAGGCTGATGGCCAGGTTTGTGGCATGAGCGACTGGCAAATGGGAAGCTGTTGGGAGTAGGGTGGGAGGTGGAGAGGGTGCAGGTCTGTGTTGGACATGCTAGGGCTGAGATCCCTGCCCTCTTGGAGGCGATACTGGGCGGCTAAGCCTGGAATCCAGGCTGCAGTGTACATCTGAAGCCAGCAGCACTGAGCTGATGTTTAGTGCCATGGGTCCACACGGTTTCATCACCTAGAGAGGGTGTTCCAAATTATATTTGGCCAAATGCCAAATGGCCAAGAATTAACATCTATATTTGGCTAAGGTGAGAATCCCCATCTCAGAATGAGCTCCCATGATGCAAGAATAAATCTGAAATGTTCATCAAGATGCATCATACTTACCACAGTTTTATTCTAAAAACATGAGGGGTCGAAGTTTTGATGTTTTGCATTGCAGTGTCAGTAGTCATGCCCGCCCAGCACTGTTGGGTGCCAGTTGCTCTCAAGGTCTTCAAACCAGACATTTGTGTTGCTAGATGCTGTGATGCCTTCAACTGGGAAGGCTAGAGGAGCACATGGACCTTTGACTGATGCTGTCTGAAGGGATGCGCCTCACGTGAAGCCAGCCCTGGGTTGTCAGCCTTTCTCCCTCTCTGAGTGGTGGGTTATGGTAGAGACTCACCTCCTCTTGGACCTT